TCCATCACCACCACCACCACCAGTTCACACCTACCCACCTCATGTTCCCCATCCAGTTTACCATTCTCCTCCTCCACCCGTCTATTCCCCACCTCCACCACACTATTACTACAAATCACCTCCTCCACCTTACCATCACTAAATAGCCCATTATTGGCATCACACTATATGGTAATTTTCATGTAACAGGCATACAAAATTTCCTTTCCTAGTCAACTACCAATCTCTTTTGACTAACTAGTTAACAGTAAAATTGTCGAGTATATGCAATTATAATTTAAAATGAAACATTCTTTAATATTTTAGTCAACATTTCTCGTAAACTATTTTCTTTTACAGTATTTGGTTATTAAGGGATTAGTGTATAAGACACAAACTGACAGATCCATATATATTTGTATTTGTGTAGGATCTAAGCAGAAAGTGTGAAACCAAAGAAAGCCATGCACAAAGAAGATCAAGGGGATTCTTCACATATATATTTCGTCAGTCTTTGACTTATATTGTTTAGAGGTTTCTTTTATTTATTTAATGTGTGCTTTTGTTGTATTAGCCACAGCTGTAAGGCACTGCCTCAATATACATGTGTCTGCAGTTGTTTGCATGAATTGTAATTTTCAAAGTTTGGTTTTGTATCAAGCTGACTGACTAGCAAAATAAATATATCCCCTATTATAGTAATCTACCCCTTGCATCTATGCCTCATTTTTATGCTATTCTTGTGATGATAATAACAAAAATAATTCATGTATGAAAGTGTTTTTTTTTCTTTTGAAAGCATAGATTTTTAATATAAACAAGAGTAAAAATTCACAAATATACTACAGTGTAAGAAACAAAATACAAAGTGCATGACACACTAAAATGAGCTATCGCAATATCTTAGAGAAGACTGAAAAACATACAAATTCCACAAAGAAGACCATTATTCTTTAAATGTAGTAAAAGCTCTTAATTTTAAAAGTTTTTCATCAGTGTAATTCAAACACCTCCCAATCATTATTCACGCATCAATTGTCACAATATGGATCGTAGCAACCGCAATTATAACACTTTAAAAGAACAATAATAGGGCAATGCAATAATCGAAGGTGCTATCAAAGGAATGATTTGTTGAAAGTATAGACAAATTTAGAAGTTAACTGAAAAATAAACAGTATAATTAGATAAGAGAGGTGTTTGTCTATTTAATGAAAATTTATGAGGTTAATATACATTTTAAAACTAGAGGGAGTTTATGTAATACTTTAATAAACTTTAGTAGAGTTGAGAGGGTCAGGTATTCATTCATTCATTCTCATACTCATACTTGCTTATATTTGCTCTAAATCTCACTTTGACATCGTAGTGTCTTGCATGTACCCCCAACTTCACATTCAACTGCTGCTCGACTCGAAGCTTGTGGGCTTTGACAATCCCTTTTGGTCAGGTATAATCTGTGGCGCCGTCTGTTGAAAACAGTTTTCCCGTCTCCATCTCGAGACCAAAGCAATTCTCCATCAAACTGTGTGATTGTCATGGCCGACCAAGCTGTCGACAACAACCAAAATGCCCATCTCGCCGACCTCAACAACAACGTTGGCAACAACATTGGCAACAACAACGCCGGCAACGACATCGACATGGCCAGTCCCGAGCAGAACTACAGAGACGGACTGACCGCTTCTTCATCATCCCGCTCCCGACCACACGAAGACGACTATCATCCTCCCCAGAACTATGAACCAAATGCATTCCAGGAGGTCCCGTTCCCGCGGACGCAGACGCCACGATCAGAGCTCTGTTCGCGGCCACCAACCAGATAAACTACATGATCTTCTCACAGGGTGAGCGACTGAGGATGCTCGAACAGACTCGCCGGACCCCCAGAAGACACAGGAGACCTGACACTCCTCCTCTCCGTCTGCACGAAGACCGTCTCAAGTCTCCCCCGTGGAGACGTGGATGGGATGGCTCGCGAAGCCCTTCTCTCCGGCGAACTGGACGAGGCCCCGCGCTGGAGAGACCCCAGCCCGAAGCCATGGGGAGACGCGGTCACACCCCTCCCCTACTAAAGGAGTACGACGATATTGCAGATCCTGTCGACCACATCGACGGGTTTGAAGCAATGCTCCATTACCACAACGTCGGGGGACCAATTAAATGTTGGTTGTTCCCCACGATCCTGAGTAAACCAGCCATGGACTGATACAAGAACCTCTCCCCCGGGTCGATCACCTCCTGGAGGAGCCTCAAGAACCAGTTCATCAACTCCTTCATCGCGTTTCGTCGACATCTGAAGCCTGAGGCCTCCCTTAAAGCAATCATCCAGAGAAGCGAAGAGACCCTCAGGGAATACATTGATTGGTTCAACCGTGAGACTATCAGGTCCCGTGCAACAATCACATGAAAAGGTACCTGCTCGAGAGAGAACTCCTCCCGAGCACTGAGTTCAGAAAAGCTGTCGGCATTGAATCCCCGGTCTTTCGACGCTCTTCTCGAAAAAGTCAGGGCATACATGGACTACGAGGAGAAAAAAACAGCCAATAAAGCACGCGACTCGAGGACTCACAGACCAGCTAACGTCCCGCGGCACTAGGACGTGGGCCTTTCTCAACGCCCTGGGGAGAAGAGAAGGGAGGAGAAACCGCGCGATCCCCACGAACATAGAGGACCAGCAGGGTGGTTCACAGAGTACACCACGCTGACCGCTTCCCGCGAGTGTATCCTTGGGATGTGCTCTAATACCAAGTTCAAGGACCGCGGCGGCAGACGTCTTCGACCCGCCTCTGCAAAGCCTGGGGCAGACAGGACATAATTGTCAGTACCATCGTAGCCACGGGCACTTGACGGAAGACTGCGTCCACCTCAAAGATGCCATCGAGACTCTCATCAAGAGTGGAAGACTCGGGCAGTACAGACACAACGACGCCCCTCGCCGAGACACCCGCGAGGTAAAAGAAATCTAGGAAGAAACCCGATTGTCCGATGAATCGGGTCCCCTCCACGTGGCTTTTTCCGTGACGAGGCCAGAAGACTTCCACATCCCCGATATCTACGAGGAGGAACCGTTGTCCACACACAGCAGATGGGAGATATTCCCCTCCGCCATGGTCATATCTGGCAGGGGACTCAACGACATCTCGGTGAACTCGGCGAAGAGGAAGCTCGACGAGTTGGTGCACGCAGCCCCAACCCAGACAGTAACGCTCGAGAGGTTCAAAGGAAAATCTGAGTCAATCACATTCTACCTAGAGGAGCTGTCCGACGGAGCCCTAAAATCAAGTATTCCTCTGCTAGTAAGGACATGGATGGCCAACTTCGATGTACATCATATTCTGGTCGACGAGGGGAGTTCCGTCGATATCATGTACAACCACCTATTTCGAACCCTACAGCTCGACGACATCCACCTGTCTCCATACGTGGGGTCCTACCTGCAAGGATTCACGAGCCTCCAAGCCATGGGGCTACGTTGTGCTCTTCTTCTCCTTCGGAGAAGAGACTGTTTCCCGATAGGTCAAGGTGCGATTTCGGGTGATCGACTGTTCGTTGATCGACAACAGCATCCTAGAGAGACCGACACTGGCCGAGCTGACCGCAATGTCCTCCATTGTCCATCTGAAAATGAAGTTCTACACCAGGAGGAGACGCGTCGCCACCATCCATGGAGACAACTCGGCTGCCAGGAGATGTTTTCACGCGCCTCCAAAGGACAGAGCATGGTCAACACTGGAGCGCGACCCGCCAAAAGAGCAAACACTGCTCGAACTGAATCAAAGCCTGCTCGCATCGAAGAACAAAGGGCTCCACCAAAGGTCGACTCCATCATCGCTCTCCTCTTGATTCTTACATTCATGTTCAATACTCTATGTTGGGTAGTAAAGCACTCTCATGGCATAACTTTACAATTCAAACAAATCTTCCTATCCGACGTCCTAAGAAAGAAATCTAATTGAGAATATGTCATCCGACTCTTATATAGAATAAGATGTTCATCTTTTTTTCTAAATTAGGTATTAGATATAGTAAGATCATAAGCCGACAAAAACTCTAAGATAGATTTACCATCAACATTTACCTCCCCAAAACTATACATTCATACACGCCCTCAAAATCTCTTGCTATGCTCTCTACATATTCATTCAAATCTCTTCTTAAAAAAAAAATTCTCCTTATATAATATATCTTGAAATAAATCCTTCTAAAATTTTAGTTTTAAAATGTCCTACTAACCTAATCTAAGATGTATAAACTCTAATCACATTATTTATATATATATATATATATATATATATATATATATATATATATATATATATATATATATATATATATATATATATATATATATATATATATATATATATATATATATATATATATATATATATATATTTGCAAATCAAAATGATTAAAATATATTCTTATATTTTCATTTTGGGCAAACTAAAACTAGTTAGTGTTCTTTAGTCCTTGCTATTTGATTCTCTTCTCAGCTTACCAGTTTCTGCCAAACCAAAGTAACGCTCTAAACTAAAGCAATTTGGGTGGCAACCATCCCAAAAACAATGATATAGACAATCACTTTTTCTACAAGAGGGCAGTACCTAGTTAATTAGGGTAAAAATGTAATTAAGTTAGTTGGTATTTAATTTTATTAAAACACAAAATTATAGTTGATTCAACAACGTGAATTAAATATATATTCAACTTAATTTATTATATTTTTTGCCCGTGATTAATCAAATATCACATGATTATGAAAAACTTGGTATACGTGAACCATTTTTTTCCAGGTCAAATTATTTTAGAAGTCAATAAGAATGGGTGATAATTCAAAGTTAACCAGCATAGTACAATTCAATATGATTATATGCATGTTTCCTAGAAGGTGAAGTTAACTAACCAAGATGCTATAAAATGGGGTTGAACCAGCATCCTTTCATAGAACCAAAATACACTTTGTAAGAAAAACATGAGGTCCCTAATGGCATCTGCTTCTCTCACTCTTGCATTAACTATGCTCTTTTTGAGTTTCCCATCTGAAATTTCAGCAAACCAATATTCTTATTCCTCCCTGTCACCACCAAAGAATCCATACCATTACTCTTCTCCTCCACCTCCACCAGTTCACACCTACCCTCATCCACACCCAGTCTACCACTCTCCACCGCCACCAGTTCACACCTACCCTCACCCACACCCAATCTACCACTCTCCACCACCGCCGGCAGTTCACACTTACCCACACCCACACCCACACCCAGTGTACCACTCTCCTCCACCACCAACACCACACAAGAAGCCATATAAGTACCCATCTCCACCACCACCGGTGCACACCTACCCTCGCCTTCTCTCTGGCTACCGATCCCCCCCACCACCACCAACACCACACTATTACTACAAATCACCTCCTCCACCTAACCACCACTAGATAGTCCATCCTTGGCATCTCACTATATGGTAACTTTTCATGCAACATATATTACTCTCTCTGTTTCAAAATAACTGTCGTTCTTGCAAATAATTTTTTTTTTAAAATGACTGTCATTTTTATTTTTTAATTTGGTAATAATTACTATTTTTTCCAATTATATCCTTTACTTTTTACTTTCTACACTATTTTCAATAAATTAATAAAATTAATTTTATAAAAATATAATGTGTTATGACAATATCATTACATTCCTTAATTTATGTGTAAAAATCTTAAGCAACTCCCATTTTAAAATGGAGGAAGGACAAGTACAAAATTTCCCTTCACTAATCAACTACCATTCTCTCTTCATTACATAGTTAACAGTATAATTGTCGAGTATATGCAATTCTAATTTAAAGAAACATTTTTTAATATTTTAGTCTGCATTTCTTGTAAATTACTCTTCTGCTATATTATTTGTTTACTAAGGGATTAGAGTATTAGACATAAACTGACAGATCAATATATATTTGTATTTGTGTAAGATCTAAGCAGAAAGTGTGAAAGGAAAGAAAGCCGCATAAAGAAGATTGAAGGGATCCTTCACATACATGTTTCGTCGGTGTTTGATTAATATTGTTTAGAGGAATGCTTTTATTTATTTAATTTGTGTTTTTGTCTCAAGCTGACTGACCAGCCAAATAAATATATCCCCTATTATAGTAATCTGCCCCTTACATCTATGCCTCATTTTTATACTATTCTTATTATAATAATAATTTATGTTTATTTGTTTCTAATGATTATTTTTGTTTGCTTTTTCCGTACACAATAATTTTTTTGTTTAAAAGTGAAATCATTAGCAATCTTCAGTGAAACTAAAATAAATTAAATAAATACTACTAAAAATATTTAAAGAAAACCTAAAAATACCATTATATATATTATAGATAAAGTTTTATCAGCACCTCAAACGGAAAAATAGAACAAAGCAACACAGAAGCACTGCAACAAAGCCAATAGAGAAGAACTACATCTAAACCTACACCACCTCAGCAAGTGCAAAACTTTGACACATCTTATGTTTAGCTTAGCTCCCATCTTATGTCTATCACAACATTTGACCAAAATGTGGGAACTTGTCAAAACTTGCTATTTTCACAAATTAGTGCATTTTATCCTTTCCATTCCATCGTCAATAAGATTATTACTTCCATTAAAAAAACCAACCAAGATAATTTTTACAGCATTCGATCAAGAAACTGTCAAATTCTTATTCTACATTTATCCATAATAGGATGTGTCTTTCAGAGTTAGACAAATAAAAAATGAAAGATTTTAAAAACTTAAACCTTCTGAAAATCTGAATATTTTAGTTACAAAGGATTTTTTTTAGGGTGAATTTCTTATATTATAAATTGAGACATTAGTACAAAAGGTGATCACATCCTTTACATAAAATAAAATAAAAATAAAAGTATAAATAAAGAAAGTCTATATAAGAGATGGGTTGAGGATTCAATCTTTAACGGTAATATTTATTTATATTTACGTAGTAACATATATATAAATTATTGATATTATATATTAAAGACCATTCCCAATCAAAAAAAGGACTCCAACTCAAGAACACATTTTTTTTTTAAACTTTTCTCACACTGCTTTTTTTACATGTCTCCTTTTTCATATTTTTTACTACCACACATGTCATTTTCTTCTTTAGAGGCAGTTAAGATCCATTTAAAAGTTTAGAAGAAAATAAATATCTAAATATGTTTTTTTGGCTATGTCAAGTTCTTTAAAAAAGTTAAATTAGAATGTTAAAAAAATCTCAGATTCAGATTTTAAATTTGGAAAATTGATCAAACATGTTTTAAGGTTGTCCAAGCCTACACTATAGTCTAATAATATGAAAATTGTGAGTTGAAAATATTTGCCCCTTTTCTTGTGCCTAGTGAATCTTAACAAACAAAAATAGTATTTTTCTAATAATCTAAATTTTTTATCTTAATTAATATTTGGCCAATAGGTCACTATTGTAGAATGGCATACCACTGGTAGAGTTCGACACAATGTTTTTGCCCGCCGCGAGTGCCGTCGATAATGTTGAATAAATATTAAATGTGTTAGTAATAAAGTTTTACATTAAATATGGTAGTAGGAAGGATAAAAGTTTTAGTAAGTTATTAGTATCAGTTATGTTTTAGTTTATGTTTTAGAATTGTAAAAACTATTTGGGTCTATAAAAGACCAAGAGTGTATTTTATTTTATAAGAGTAATATACAAGTTTTGATCTGAAGTCTGATTCGATTTTAACAATTTGGCATCAGAGCTCATGGCAAACATGATGAATCAAATGCCGTTGCCACGGCTAACGAAGTCTAATTATGAAAACTGGAGTATCCAAATGAAAGCTCTTCTTGGATCTCTAGACGCGTGGGAAGTGACCAATGATGGGTTTGAAGAACCAACAGAAGTTGGGGGATATACGGCAGCTCAAACGAAGACGTTGAAAGAGACGCGATCGAAGGACAAAACGGCATTATACATGTTGTTCAGGGCTGTAGATGAACCAGGCTTCGAGAAAATTGCTGGTTCGACTACGTCGAAACAAGCGTGGGACACGTTAGAAAAAGTGTTCAAAGGAGCAGATCGAGTGAAGCAAGTTCGACTTCAAACTCTTCGTGGCGAATTGGAGAGGATACATATGAAGGATACATAAATTGTATCTGACTACATCACACGTGTGCAAAAGGTGGTGAATCAACTCACCAGAAATGGAGAGACAGTACCTGATGCACGAGTTGTTGAAAAGATCTTGAGATTTTTAACAGACAAGTTTGAGAATATTGTGTGCGCAATAGAAGAGTCGAAGAACCTTTCGACGCTCTCAGTCGAAGAGCTCGCTGGTTCTCTCGAAGCACATGAACAACGAAAGATGAAAAAGAAAGAAGAAGCAGTCAAAGAAGCAAACCAAACCAAGGAATCGAACAAAGACGAAAAGGTACTCTTTTCAAACAACTTTCGAGGAAGAGGACGTGGACGTGGAGGTCGTGATAGTGGTTGAAGCGGTAGAGGTAACAACTTCGAAAGGGGACAATCGAGCCAACAAAATTGGCGTGGCAGAGGACGTGGTCAAAGAGGTGGTCGTTCGAATTATTCCAACTTCGAATGCTACAAGTGTGGGAAGTATGGTCATTATGCGAAGGATTGTAACTCCTACAAATGTTACAACTGTGACAAAGTGGGACATCTTGCAAAAGACTGTCGAATCGAAAAGAAGATTGAAGAAACAACCAACCTAGCCTTGGAAGCTGAATCGAATGAAGGCTTTCTCCTGATGGCTCAAAACAAAATCAACACCAATGACAGTGTTTGGTATCTTGACTCAGGAGCAAGTAATCACATGTGTGGTTACAAACACCTGTTTAAAGATATGAAGAGAATTGAAGATGGTAATGTGTCTTTTGGAGATGCATCGAAAGTGAAGGTCGAAGGAAAGGGCACAATCAGTTACTTGCAGAAGGATGGCTTGATTGGATCAATCGAAGACGTTTACTATGTACCAGATCTCAAGACCAACATATTAAGTCTGGGACAACTTACAGAAAAAGGTGCTTCGATACTGATGAAAGATCGAACACTGCATTTGAAGGACAAAGCAGGATATCTGATTGCCGTTGTCGAAATGGAAAGAAATCGAATGTACAAACTGAACCTGAGGAACATTCGAGAGAAATGTCTGCAAATCGAAGTGCAAGACAAAGCGTCACTATGGCATATGCGCTTTGGTCATCTACATCATGCTGGTTTGAGAAGGTTGGCGAAAAGGAACATGGTGCATGGACTACCAGAAATGGATTTCGAAGGAAAATTCTGTGAAGAATGTGTGCTCAGCAAACCAACAAGAACCTCATTTCAAAGGAAGGCAGAGTATCAAGCTAAACATATTCTCGAATTGATACATACTGACATATGTGGGCCAATCACTCCAGAATCCTTCAGTGGAAAAAGGTACTTCATTTTTTTTATTGATGACTTCTCAAGAAAAACCTGGGTTTACTTCCTGAAAGAAAAATCTGAAGCATTAGAAGTGTTCAAAAAGTTCAAAGTAATGGTGGAGAAGGCAACAGACAGACACATCAAAGCAATTCGATCTGACAGAGGAGGTGAGTATAGTTCAATGGCCTTTGTGAAGTACTGTGAAGAACAGGGCATAAGGAGATTCCTAACTGCACCATATTCACCTCAACAAAATGGTATGACTGAAAGGAAGAATCGAACTATTCTTGACATGATTCGATCAATGCTCAAAAGCAAGAACATGTCGAAAGAATTCTGGGCAGAAGCAGTACAATGTGCTGTTTATATTCAGAATAGATGTCCACATTCGAAGTTAGAAGACAAAACACCACAAGAAGCATGGAGTGGACAGAAGCCAACAATTTCTCATCTCAAGGTATTTGGTAGTATAGCTTATGCACATGTACCAGATCAACGAAGAACAAAGCTTGAAGACAAAAGTCAGAAGTACATATTCATTGGATATGATGAGAAGACGAAAGGGTACAAGCTCTTCAATCCCATAAGCAAGAAAGTGATCGTGAGCAGAGACGTTCGAATGAACGAAGCAAGCAAGTGGGACTGGAACATTTCGACAGAGGTTGTTGACACAGTCGAAGAAACAACTGTAGCTGTACCAACAATTATTCCAACAGAACATGAAGAAATAAAAGATGGAGATGAACCTCTACAACCCAAAATGAGAAGTTTGCAAGATTTGTATGATTCAACAAGTGAGGTGCATCTTGTGTGTCTTCTGGCAGATGCTGAAAACATCAGCGTCGAAGAAGCGTTACGAGACAAGAAGTGGAAAAGTGCCATGGACGAAGAGATTAGAGCAATCGAACGCAACAATACTTGGAAGCTAGTCGAATTACCAAAAGGAAGTCAACCCATTGGTGTAAAGTGGGTATTCAAGAAAAAGATGAATGCTCAAGGAGAAATCGAAAGATTCAAAGCAAGGCTGGTTGCGAAGGGATACAATCAGAAAGCAGGAATTGACTATGACGAAGTGTTTGCGCCTGTTGCAAGAATGAAGACAATTCGATTACTCATTTCTCAAGCTGCTCAGTTCAAATGGCCAATATTTCAAATGGATGTCAAGACAACATTTTTGAATGGTGTGCTCGAAGAAGAAGTCTATGTCGAACAACCACTTGGATATATGAGAACTGGAGAAGAGAAGAAGGTGTTGAAACTGAAGAAATCACTGTATGGGCTGAAGCAAGCACCTAGAGCATGGAACACACGTATTGACACATATTTCAAAGAGAATGAGTTCGAGCAATGTCCTTATGAACCCGCCCTCTATGTGAAGGAGGGAAGTGTCGAATTGAGACATGTAGCAAGCAGAAACCGAGCAGCGAATATTTTTACAAAACCACTATCAAAAGAGATCTTCGACAGAGGCAAGAAGATGATAGGAATGCTGGATGGAAGAAACATTTAAGTTTACAGAGGAGTTTTGTTGAATAAACATTAAATGTGTTAGTAATAAAGTTTTACATTAAACATAGTAGTAGGAAGGACAAAAGTTTTAGTAAGTTATTAGTAGCAGTTATGTTTTAGAATTGTAAAAGCTATTTGGGTCTATAAAAGACCAAGAGTGTATTTTATTTTATAAGAGTAATATACAAGTTTTGATCTGAAGTCTGATTCGATTTTAACAGATAATACCGGGGTAGCAGAGGCTATTTATGGCCTAAACCGATGTCGTGTCCGCTGTTACTAGGGTTTCAAGGCAAAAAAGTTCAAAACCTTGTTATTTTAAGGGTATAAAGCTCAATTTGAACCCTTACGAATAAAATTATGTTTTTCATTCTTTTATGTTCTTACTCACAACAAATAATCATTATGTTCTTACTTTTGGTTCAATTCTGTTATGCATTTCTTCTCTGCTTAAATTTTATTTATTTGTACTTTAAGTTCTTTAATTATTAAGTATATAAATTTTGTGTTTATGTTTACTTTACATAAATTTTTAGTTTGCAATAGCGTCTATCCCACTATAACTTTTAAAATGAAACTGACCAACGCAAGAATTTTGACTTAAACCCAAAAGAGGGCAAAAGGCCCATATATGTCAACTAAATTGGTATAACAAATAATATTTAATTTATATAAGAGAAAGAATTAGAAAAGAATCTATTTATATAAGAGAAAGATATTTGAAAATAATCTATTGTCCATCACAACTTCAAAATCTCAAAATGGGTATGAAAAAGAAATAATTATAAATTAAAGAATAAATCATTTTGAGATTTAATGAAAAATTGAGATTAAAATGTTAGAAACTTAGAACAATATATATCTCCTTACATAACATAAATAATTAAACTATATTCTTGTCTTTTAATTTAGGGCAAACTAAACTAAAATCAAAGTGTTGTTAACATTTCTATAGTCCTAGCTAGGAATTTGATTCTCTTCTAAACTTGCAAGCGTGATCCAAAACCAAACTAAAGAAACATGGATAGCAACCATTCCAAAATAGTTAGGGTCACATTGCTCTAAAAGTCAATAAGATTGGTAATATTTCAAAGATAGCCAGCCTTATAGTATAATTAAATATGAATGTATGCATGTTTCCTAGAAGGTGAAGTTAACTAATGCTTTAAGAATTTACCTATATAATGGGGTTGCACCACCACTCTTTCACATAACCAATATACACTTGTAAGAAAAACAATGAGGTCCCTAATGGCAACTGCTTCTCTCATTCTTGCATTAGCCATACTCTTTCTCACTTTCCCATCTGAAATTTCAGCAAACCACTATTCTCACTCCTCACCACCACCACCGCCACCGAAGGATCCATACCATTACTCTTCTCCTCCACCTCCATCAGTTCACACCTACCCTCATCCACACCCAGTCTACCACTCTCCACCGCCACCAGTTCACACCTACCCTCACCCACACCCAGTCTACCACTCTCCACCACCGCCGACAGTTAACACTTACCCACACCCAGTGTACCACTCTCCTCCACCACCAACACCACACAAGAAACCTTACAAGTATCCATCTCCCCCACCACCACCAGTGCATACCTACCCTCACCCACACCCAATCTACCACTCTCCACCACCACCAACACCACACAAGAAGCCATACAAGTACCCATCTCCCCCACCACCACCAATGCACACCTACCCTCCCCATGCTCCCCACCCAGTTTACAATTCTCTTCCTCCTCCAGTCTCTTCCCCACCTCCACCACACCATTACTACAAATCACCTCCTCCACCTTACCATCACTAGTTATCCCATCATTGGCATCTCACGGTAACTTTTCATGCAAAATACGTTACAATTTTAATTATTACAAAATTTTCCTTCACTAATCAACTACCATTCTCTCTTTATTAATTAATTAACAGTATAATTGCCGAGTATATGCAATCCTAATTTAAAATGAAACTTCATGTGCAATGAAGCATTCTTTTAATTTAATATTTTAATCTGCATTTCTTGTAAATTAATTTTTCTTTTACAGTATTTGGTTATTAAGGGATTAGTGTATCCTACATAAACTAACCGATCAATATACATTTGAATTTGTGTAGGATCTAAACAGAAAGTGTGAAAGCAAAAAAAAGCCATGCAAAAGAAGATTGCGAGGATTCTTCACATATATATTTCGTCAGTGTTTGATTAATATTGTTTAGAGGGCTGCTTTTATTTATTTAATTTGTCTTTTGTTGTATTAACCATAGCTGTAAGGCACTGCCTCAGTATGCATGAATTGTAATTTTCAAAGCTCGTTTTGTATCAAGCTGGCCGACACGCCAAATAAATATATCCCCTATTTTGCTAATCCCTATTCAAAAATATCTATGTGTGAACTTAAAAGTTCATGCATTAAAGTATGTTTTTCTTTTGACGACATTGATTTATAATATAAACAAGAGTACAATGAGTACTTCAACTCACTACAAAAAGAGGTACAGCACCTCAAACCAAAAAATAGAACACACCATAATCAATAAAGAAATACTACTGCAAAGCCTGTAGAGAGGAACTAAATCAAAAACAAACAAAAAATCAACTAGATCAACATAGTAAACCACAACCCAAAAGAACTAGGTGAGCACATAAAGAACTATCTCACCAATTTGTAGAAACTACATGGAGACTTTGAGGATTTAACTAAAAACCACTTTTAAGAAAAGAAATTAAATCGACCCACCAATTTCTCAAGATTCACTATATTTTTAGAGAAGATAACCCCATGTTGCACCTTCCAAATGGACCACACTACATAATGTCTAACTAAAGTCCAACAATGTTTTAGCTGAAGGCTACATCCGAAAGAACAGAATATTAAGAAAAAACCTAACAGGTCAAGTGACATAACAAACTTCTGTTTTAGCCAGTTAACAATTGAATAACATACATGAAACGAGAAATCACGGATAAGAAATAAGTGGCACATTTTGAACGTTACTACTAAAGAACATAGAAGTTTCAGATTTCATTGCAACTTAAGTACTTATGTTTTATTATAAACTACATACACATGTTTTATCTGTTGAAATGCATATGTATGAATAAGTTCATCACAATTGTGCAACATGATTTGAGCACTATGAGTTGTATGTAATAAAAAAAAAGGTTAAAACCTTTCCCAATTAGAAAAATGATTCTCGACTCGAGAACAAAAATGATTTTTTTTTATCTTTTGATGTACTACTTTTATTTACATCTTTTCATTTCCATATTTCTCTGTTTTTTATCATCACGTCTCTTACTTTTTAGGCTATGTAAAGCTCTTTAAAAAGTTAAATTAGATTGTTAAAAGAATCTACATTGAATAAAAAGACCAGATTCAGATCTTAAGTTTGGAAAACTGATCATGAATGCATAAAGGTTGTCCAGCCTGAACTATATTCCGATAATATGCTATGTAAGAGAGATAATGGGTAGGAGATATAGAGGGATGAAAATTGTGAATTGAAATCATCTATCTCAATTATTTGCCCTTTTTCCTGTTAAATAGTTAAATAGATCTCATTACTACGAAATTAGATTAGGGAAGAAATACTCTAATGCAAAGTTAGGGAGAACCACCAACCTCAACAAAGATGTATCACCTGCCATATTGTTTAAAAAAAACAACTTAAGATTACCATGTAGAAACTTAGAATCAATACATATTTCCTTACTTATTAGAAATAATTAACCTATATTCTGGTCTTCTAATTTTGAGCAAACTAAATGAAAATCAAGGTGTAGTCAACATTTCTATAATTCTAGCTAGCTATTTGATTATTTTTTCAACTTGCCAGCGTCTGCCAAAACAAAACTAAAGAAACCTGGATCGCAAGTCGCAACCATTCCAAAATACTTAGGGTCATATTCCTATAAAAGTCTAAGAATCGGTAGTACTAGTACTAGTAATTCAAAGATAGCCAGCCTTATAGTATAATTTAGTATGAATACATCATGTTTCCTAGGTGAGTCTCAAGGGACAAGTTGACTAATCAAGATGCTTTAAAAAAGTAGCTATAAAATGAGGTTGCACCAGCATTCTTCCATAGAACAAAAATCCACTTGTAAGAAAAAATGAGGTCCCTAATGGCCTCAGCTTCACTCATTCTTGCATTTGCCATGCTCTTTCTCAGTTTCCCATCTGAAATTTCAGCAAACCTCTATTCTATTTCCTCAACACCACCACCAAAGGATCCATACCATTACTCATCTCCTCCACCTCCACCAGTTCACACCTACCCTCATCCACACCCAGTCTACCACGATCCACCACCACCGGTTCACACATACCCTCACCCACACCCAGTCTACCACTCTCCTCCCCCTCCAACACCTCACAAGAAACCTTACAAGTACCCATCTTCTCCACCACCACCAGTGCACACCTACCCTCACCCACACCCAGTCTACCACTCTCCTCCACCACAAGCACCACAAAAGAAGCCTTACAAGTACCCATCTCCTCCGCCACCACCCGCGCACACCTACCCCCGTCTTCACCCTGTCTACCGCTCCCCACCACCACCACCAACACCACAGAAGAAGCCATACAAGTACCCATCACCACCACCTGTTCATACCAACCCCCCTCACCCTCACCCTCACCCGGTCTACCACTCTCCACCACCTGTTCATACCAACCCCCCTCACCCTCACCCGGTCTACCACTCTCCACCACCATCATCAGTTCACACCTACCCTCCTCATGCTCCCCACCCAGTTTACCATTCTCATCCTCCTCCAGTCCATTCTCCGCCACCACCACATTATTACTACAAATCACCTCCTCCACCTCACCACTACTAGAAGCCTATAATTGGCATCACACCATATGGTAACTTTTCACGTATAATAGTACAAAATTTACGTTTTCCATTAAACTCATTCTCTCAATTTATTTTGTATGCTAAAGAGATTAGTTGCGAACTTACACACACTAGTGATGATACGTGGGGAGATGCGGGTGTGAATATGTGCCCCAGTATATCAAATGTCCCTGAATCTTTTTACCATATGAGTTGTACTTACAAGACAACTCGTATTCTCTCTTTATTAAATATTTATCTTTTTTTTTTATTAATGAATTATCAATTTGATTGTTTAATACACAGTATAAAATCCTAATTTAAAATGAAATGTCAGGTGAAATGAAACATTCTTTTACTGATTAATATTTTACTTTCCATTTCTTGTAAGTTAATATTTTTCTTATAGTGTTTGACTGTTAAAGAATTAGAGTATCAGACATAAACTCACACCAATATATATTTGTATTTGTATTTGTATAGGATCTAAACAGAGAGTTTGAATGCAAAGAAAGCCATGCACAAAAGAGATCGAGGGGATTCTTCACATATATTTCATCAGTGACGCAGTGTTTGATTAATATTTGGAGGGCAGCATTTATTTATTTAGTTTGTGTTTTTTGTTGTATTAGCCACGGTTGTAAGGTGCTGCTGCCCCAGTATGCATGTGTCTGCTGCTGTTTGTATTGCATGTCTGATGTCTCTACTATAGTAATTTATCCCTTGCATCTATGGCTCCTTTTATATTAATATTATGCTTTTGATGGTAATATGAATTTCATTTATTTGTTTGTATTAATTTTTTTTTTAACCTTTTTCGTTACAAATTAATATTTAGTTTTAAAAGTGAATTTGGTAGTCAAATAAAAAATATTTCTACCCATAAATGTGTTCTACTATCCATGTATATCAATTAGATTGATTAGTTCCATTGAAAACAATGAAATCATTTTTCACAGCAATCATTTTACAAAACCAGCATTTGTTAAAGAAACTGTCAAATTCTTATTCTATATTCACCCATAACAGCATGCTCTTTTCACAGTTAAACAAACAAAAAGATGTTACCTGATTAAAAGAAGCATGCAATGTACACCATAGAGGAAAAGCTCATAAATGTTGGTGCTTTTTGTTTTGCCATCTCATAAACTCCACGGATTGCATTGATTTCCTTTGCTGGATCAACAAAAATTATGCATACAAATGTATAAGCTTTCTGCAAAAAAATTACTTATCTTGCATGGATTACATTCATCAATTTTAGAAAAATGAATGACAAAAAAATGAAAATCCAAATGCAAACAAATACTGATTGAATGAAAATCAATTTGAAACTATCATCTATGAATGATTCTCCCAGAATTAATAATAAAACCTGATTTTAGCGTAAAAAAACCAATCAAAATGCAGAAAACGAAGAACTGTGTCATGGTTACAATCCATTAGAGATTACAATAATAAAAAGAAGAAATTACGATGATTGCGGAGATCCAAAAAAAGGAGAAACTAACACTATGAGTCTTCGGTCTTGCTCGTTCTCCATCATGTTGCTTGTTTTCAAAATTCTCGAAATAAAAAGCATAATTCTTTTTCTTTTTCTTTTGTTTTTAAAAGCATAATTATATTTTCAATAACGACGCAAATATATTTTTTAAATACATCAAATTAAATCAAATTTTGATTTAAATATTTATTATTTAAATGTTATTTTAAATCTTTTATTCTTTTGTTATAGTAATTTTTAAAGATTAATTAGTATGTACAGTAGTCTAAATTTTTTGTATCTACATCACAATTATTCATAGATATTACTTTATAAATAATTAATATTAATGTTAATTTTTTATTAAAATTTAACGGTTACGATTAACTGACAGTGTAAAGTTTATTTATATTGTCGGTGTATATCAATTAAATCTTAGTTATTATATAAAAATTTTAAAAAAAAACTTAAATTTGAAGTTATATTTTAAATAATTTTTTACAAAAATTATTTTTAATACGATTATTATAGGATGTAAAAAATAGTTTTTTGATTTATAGAAAATAAATTTTAAAAAAATATAATTAATATTTTAAATAAATATTTTTGTAAAAGTTATTTCTAAAAGGGTTAAATATGTTATTGGTCCTTATAAATATAGTGATTTTCACTTTTAATTCCTATAAAATTTTCCTTTTAAGATTGATCTCTATAAAGTTTTTCATCCACATTATTAGTCTCCAATGTTAAATCCCACTAACAATTAATGACGTCGCTGATACAGGTGAAATAAAAAAAATGTTTTTTTTAATTCACCTTTAACCGTGTACGCGTGGATTTATATTTGTGGTAAACATTTTGTTACTATCTCACAATTTCCAAATAGTGAAGTCCCAAACGAAAACCCTAAATACTGTAACTTCAACATAATCTTATCTGCTTAGTTTTTCTCTATCGAAATCAAAAGTTGGTGGTCTCAGAATTCTAAAGCGTCTGCGAAATTTGTGGTCCCAGGTTAGTATCACTTGCGCTATCAATTTGTTATTGTTTGCTTAATTTCACATTTGTATATAGCTTTTCATCTATCCCACATAGTGTGTCGTTAACAGTTATGTCATTTAGGATTTTGGAGTTATCTTTGATTAAGAAATGTCAAATTCACCCTATGTCATACTTGTAATTTATAGGAAATGGGGTTATTTAAGGTCTTGTTTTATACCAAGGGTCGTTTTGTAAAGGACCTGAAGCTGGGGTATGAGGCTGGGGATGTATACGCAGTCAGGGGCAAGACTCTGATTATTGGTCATTCTTTGAAGCGTGTGACCTAATTAAGGTGATGGGCTCATCATTTAATGTTGATCAAGTGAAAATGTGGTGGAAAAGTGAAGATGGTTTACTTGAAAATGATCTGAAACCTTTTACAAATGATGAAGACGCCTTTATGTTAGCTAAGGTTGCTGAGCAGAAAATTTGTGATGTTGAAATATATATAGAGGGAAAATTATGGGAATAGGTGCAAGGTTGTTTGTAAGGAGAACAAGAAGTGTATCTACATTGTCCTATGCAGCAGAGTTTTGAGAACTACAACTTTTAGGATTAAAACTTTGTTTCATAAACAAAAATGTGGAAGAAAGTTCTACAATAAGAATGTTAATGCCGATTAGGTTGCTAGAGTGATTGTGTACAAGTTGAAGAACAATTTTAGAATGAGGTTAAATAAAGTGATAATTGATATAAGATTGAGGTTTTCTACAGAAATCACTGGATGCAGGGCTTTCAAAGTTAGGAAGTTAGCTAGGCAAGTTGTTGAAGGTGACTCGTGATGGCTGCAACAAAGGCAACATACTTTGAAGCACATGAAGCTAAGATGATGCAGATCAATGAGGTAAGTGTATATGCATATGAATGGGTAAATGTTATACTTAAGCATAAATGATGTAAGCATGCATTTCCCTTTTACTCTAAGTGTGATGTTCTAATGAACAACCTTAGTGAATCATTCAATGCAACTATATTAATGCAAATGGACAGGCCTATTATAACCATGCTTGAGTGGATTAGGAATTATCTAATGGGTAGGTTTGCCACACTTAGGGAAAAGGTGGAAAATTACAAAGGGGAAATGATGCCTAAACCACTTAGGAGGTTAGATAGAGAGATAGAAAAAAGTGCAAGCCTATTACAACCATCTTCTCACATTACTGATAATAGAGCTACACCTGCTGCTCAATCTACAAAATCAGCTTCTCATACTGTTGATAATAGAGCTACACCTGCTGCTAAATCTATACAACTTGCCAAACATACTCCAAAGAGAACTACTGTCAGAACTTTTATTGGCCCAAGATCAAAAATGCCTAAGTTTAGTGCTAAAGGAAAGGGAAAGAAATCTTGGGATCATATTCATAAGGGCTTGAGTAAATGATTGGTTGTTATGAACTGTTGTTAGAACTTATGTTATTTTCATGTACTTATGTTATTTTGATGACCACTTTGTGATGAACTTATGTAATATCAACTTATTTTATTTTGATGTAACACTCACACTATTAAAGTATGCACCATTTTGATATAATATCTGTAGCAGTAAAAAGTTGAGAGTAAACTATTGATTAACTTAACTAATAAAGTAAAAATCGCCCTAAACATCTACGGTACTCCACAAGAACCTCTTTAAAAATCTGTGTATTTGAATAAAAAGAGTTGTTTGCAAAAAGTTTATGGAAATGAGAAAAGAAATGTTTTGTTTTACAATTTGGATCCGGCAAGACTTTAATAGACTCGTGCCTACGTGCCACCAATATGCAATGACGAAATCAGTTCTTTTGAAAAAGAACAAAATTGTTTGTTGGTCGATTTTAAATGAAGAGATATTTTGTCATTTTAGGGAGAATACTCAATCAAATATCTATAAACATGAGAATGATGGACCTTTGCATCACAAGTGAAAGTAGGGCTCCAACTTGGATAACTCAACAAGTATGCCACTAATCCTTTAAGTGAAAAAAAAATTCAACATCATATCAATCAAGGTTATGGATATGGAAGAATTATATCTCAACCATAGAGATGACTTACATATAATCTTTAAGAAAATTTTTAAAACAAAAAGCCAAAATGGCAAAATGGTTTGAATTAGATTTTGTATTTTTTAGTCTTTGAAGAAAAGGTTTAACTTGGATTCAATAAATTAAGATTTGATTAAGAAAAAGATTTTAAAAATGTACTTGACAATGTCAAGATTTTTATTGAAAATGGTTTAAGTTTAAAAACAAGAAGGTTTTGAAAAGGAGGGAGAAGATTTGAAAATTAAAGAATATGGGCAAGAGATGAATGGATTATCCTAAAGCATAAAATAAAAGCTAAGGTACGAACGGTATAACCAACCAAGAGAAATTATCTTGACGCAAGTCAAACAATACATCTCATTCCTTGGATTAAAGCCACACAATAAAGTAATAAATATTAGATGAATAATATTGCCTCAGGTGCAAACATGTATCAGATGAAACTAAAAG